ACCCAACCAGCGAATAATGAACAAATTCTTGCAAAGCAAATTTTATCGCCTCACGGATATGATAGACACGAGTTCAATGTTAAGGGCCTATCTAGGACCAAACACAATAAAACAACCCATTTTTCAGGACTTTCCAGAACCACTGCCCATTGCCCAGGACTGTTAAGACCCGGAAAATAGCATGTTACCCATGCACTGGAAAGTGCTTGCAAGCGGTACAAACCATAGCTTAATTCTAACCCTAATCTGTAAAACATTGATTACAAGAACCAGATTATTGATTACGATCAACATTTTTTCAATCGCTAGTTTTTCTATCGCCAATCTCAGTTATCGAACTTTCAAATTGGCATCAAGTGATATTCTCGTCGAACCCACGCCACGGCCACGGTCTCGCGTCTCCTCTCCTCGCGTCTCCGTATTCCATTGAGACCTGTCTCGCGCCAGGCCACCGCCTCAACCGCCGCGTCTCGTGCCGGGCTCACCTTGTCTCAACTGCTGCCGCATCACGTCACCAATTTCAGTCGCCAAATATCACGCCAGCAGATAAGCATGACATCAGACAACCGACACTGTAAATTCACTTTTTTTTCGTGGGGTACCAATTTTCGTGGATTTCGTGGGTCTATCAATCCACGAACTTACGTTCCCAACGAAATACGACGTACAGATGTCACGTGCCGGTTCTACGATTTCAATCCACGAATTTAAAAATCCACGAACGTGTTTTTTTTTATCGAAACCACGAAAATTGGCATCCACGAAAATAAGCGACTTAATACAGTATATTCACGCACGGGGGTCGACTGAGTCGCGTCCCACTGTTCCACTGAGACGCGCGCCTCTCAAGCGCGCGAGGCCTCTACCTCAGCCTCGAACGCCGCGTCGCTCGCGCTGGGCTTACCTTGTCTTGACTCCTGCTGCATGACGTCGGCCAGCTGGTTACCCCCGCCTCCCTGCTTCGTCGCCTCCTGCAGAAACTCTGCCAGCGTGTTGATCGCGCGCTCCATCTGCGTACGCTCTCTTGTCGTCGCGCCGTTCGGCGTCTGCCCCACCAGGTCGCGCTCCTTCAGGGAGCCGCCCATCACTGCAACGGTGAGATAGTAGAGGATTACGCGAATGTTCTCTTGTTATCTTACTCGTTCTACTATGTTCGATGTTAATGGCGCCTGCCGAATAAATGTTGAACTTGGTGTCAAGATTGTAGCATTGCGTGATTGCGTGGGTTGTAGGATTAGAATTGTTTCGCTCATCTTATATGAAAACGCTTACATTATTTATATTAGCTCTTATATCTACATTATATGTTTGCATTTACGGCATTTAGATTTTGCGTGATCTATATTTTATCACTCGATAGTTCAATTCAAGGGTTGCTCATGTTATATGTAAGGTGGAATTGAGACGAAACTTTCCCGCAACAAAATTGTGCTTTCCACCTAAATATTCTGCAAAGGCACCTTCAACTTACTCAGATATGCTATCTCGCCTCTCTAGAACATATTCTACATCACTTAAGAGACACTAAACAAAATACGATGCCGTGGAAAACTTCCCGAACAAAATCTCTGTATAATTGAATGAAATAAAATTCCTAAATGTATCTTTCCCGAGAAAACTGAATCAATAATTTCCACTGAGGAATCTAAATGACGTCATCTAAAAACGCAGACAAAGTAGACTTGCTCGTTTGAGCAGACTCTCCGGGCAAGACAAGACAAGACAAGAGAGCAGCTATGTGGCGCAGCTAGGTGTATCTATAGTTAGTGTAGAGACCATCCCAACATTATGTCTGAGAGACGGTAAAACACACTGCATAAAATGTTCATGCAGATACTGCAACTGCCAACGGATCTATTCGTCTGCATAAATTGACAGCTAGCTCAACCCAATCAGTGTTGCGACGGGAGGGGGGGGGCATTCCAAAAATAGAGTTTAGCCAGAGAGTGCCACGATGTTGACAATTTTGGCATGCATGCTTGCAAAACATGTATATAACTATAATATTATATACATATTATATCTCATATCTTATATACTAAGTAATACAGTAATCTAATATACCTTAATCAGAGGCATGTACAGGGGGGGTCCAGGGGGTCCGGACACCCCCCTGCTCGCGCAGAAAACGCATCTAAGGGGGTCTAATTTCAAAATTTTCCCCAGACCCCCCCTTCGCGTGCTCGCAAGTTTGGGTTACGGTTAAAACCCCCCTGGTACAAATCCTGTACACGCCCCTGTTAATATGTCTTATATACCTACATAATATAATATAATATACCTATATATCTATATACCTATTATATACCTACATAATATAATCTCGTTTGATCGACCCAGAAACAATATTGAAGCGGCACCACGGTTAATAGGTCGATCAAATAATGGGTCTGCCGAATTTTTGGTGGTAAAATACAAATACACGAAAAGCGAATACGAATCGATAATGACTTGCCTCCACGCATCGACTGACTCGGATCGGACTCCTGTGGCGCCAGCTGGTGGGCGTGCGGCGGACGCTGCGTGTGCGGCCGCGGCGGTCGCCCGTGCTGCTGCTGCTGCTGCTGCTGATGCAACTCCTGCTGCTGCTGTTGCGGCTGCTGTTGGTGGTGTTGCTGCTGCTGCTGCTGTTGCTGTTGACGCTGCTGTAGTTCGCGGTGCTGCTGCTGCTGCTGCCGCTTGCGCTTGTCTCGCTCCCGCGAGTCGTCGTCGTACAGGCTGTCGTCGTCCGTCGACGAATCTGAAACGGCGACGGTTTGCGTCATCGATCCGAACTCACGATCGATGAGCGATCGATAATCCCGATCAGCGATCGATTGATAATCGTGATCGGCGATCGATCCACAATCATGATAGACGATCGATTGATAACCGCGATCGGCACTCAATCAATAATCACGATCGATCAATATCATAATAATGATTGACAATCGATCGATAATCATGATCGGCGCTCAATCAATAATCACGATCGACGATCGATCGATAACCACAATCGACGTCCTCAAGCAGGGCGGCTCTCTCTCGCGCGAGAGGAAACCACGGATGAGGTGACGAAGCCATTAGGGCTGTGCAAAGGACGATGACGAGGCGTGGGGGAGGAGCATCCGAAAATGAAAATGGGGGTCATCGCTAACGACTCTTACGGCGGCAGAGTGGCAACACGGCAGAGGAGCGAGGACGCTGGGGCGCCGCGCGAAAATGTCGATCGTCCTGCCGCTGGTAGAGGGCGCTACGGTGCTCGTCGCTGAAATCTCGTGACCAGAAGGAACTTCTCCGATGATTAAATAAGGATTGTCGTGGGATGAAAACGTCGACGGACTTCGTTAAGAAAACGATGTTTGTGTGGTAAGCACGAACGACAGTACGATGTTACTCAAATCATTTAGCATTATGCGCGAGCACACGCGCATACACACATATATATACGGATACGTATTAATAAATCAGACAGTCACGATCAAATGAACATAAATGTAGTGGGTGTGAACGCATGCACGTGGCTTGCAAGTGGATGCAAAACAAGTGACGTCATTCCCGCGGTGTGTGCGTGCGTACATCAGGGGGGAAGTGACCAAGCGTCATGAGCATGCCACTTCCTACGCAAATGTAGGCGAGTTGTGGTGCGCGTTTAGATGTCAACATGAGCTAGTCTCTCTCTGTCTCGCTCTCGCTCGTTCTCTCTCTCTCTCTGTCTCGCTCTCGTTCGCTCTCGCTCGATCGGGCTCACTCTCGTCGTCGTCGTCTCTCTCTCATCTCTTCTCTCGACGGCATCTCGGCTCTCGGCTCTCAGCTCGTCAGTCAGTCGGCTGCTCTCCCTCTCTCCTCCTTTCTCTCTCTCCTCCTCTCTCCTCTGCGCCCATCCGCCCTCTCTCCTCTCTCCTCTCTCTGCTCTCTTTCCCGTCATCGTTTCCCTGCTGGCTCCTCTGTCTCGCATCTCTCTTCATCTCTCGTCTCTCTCTCTCTCTCTCTCTCTCTCTCTCTCTCCCTCTTGTCCTCTCTCTTCTCCTTCCCTCCCCGACCGCGCTCCGTCTCTCGCTCTTCTCTCTCTTCTGCTCTTCGTCTCTTGCCTCTCCTCGTCTCTTCTCTCTCTCTCTCTCTCCTCTCCCTCCCTCCGCCCACCGCCCCTCTGCCCGTCTCCCCGTTCTCTCGCTTCTCATGTCTCCTCGTCGCTCCTCTCCTCTCTCCTCTCTCCCTCTCTCTCTCAGGGAGAACCCACCTGAAGCATCCCTGTCCTGCGTGGGACTGGCGGCCATCACGGACGAGCGCTTCGAGGGCATGGGCAGGTTGTGTTTCTGTGTCCTGTGCATCGCGAGTGCCGCCTGCACGGCTTCCTGTCTGATCTCTGTGTGCGAGAAAAAAAATGAAAAAAAATAAATACATAAATAAACGAACGAATGCGGCAGGCGAAATAAATGGCGCGAATGGCGATGCGGGAGAGGCTTGCTTGATGACGGTGCATGATGCTGAAATTCAGAAATTGAACAAAAAAACTATAAAAATTGAGATTCCCGTAAGAAGATGCATGCAGACAGACTTGCGTGGAGATGGCAGGAAATATTGATGCTGTAGTTTCAAAACAAACAATTCCATAAAATTGACATTCCTGTAAGAAGATATATGCAGACAGACTTGCGTGAGGATGGCAGGTAACAGTGATGCTGAGATTTCAAAATAAAAAATAAAATAAAAAATCGATATTCCCACAGGAAGATGTACGTACACAGACTTGCTTGGGGATGGCAGGTGAGCTGAAATAAAACTCTCAGATCAAAGTCCGATAAAAAATTTCATTCCTATAGCACAACCCACGGAACCAAAGAAGCTGTGAGCTAGGTTTCAAACTAAAAAAACACGATTGAAAAAACTACATTCCTAATTTTTGATGGGACAATGTACGCAGACACACGTGTAGTACTAGTGGGGGGATAGTGGGTGATGAGAAACCTGTGTGGTCTCAAATAAAAATAAAATAACATAAAGAAGACATTCCTATAGGATACAAAACCATCGCAAGGGTAAGATCGCAATTGGCATTGCACCAAGCATGCATAAAGCCATTCCCTTCAGGCTTCTACAACCGAATACGTGAACTCTAAGGCGAATACCGGAGGACTGCTGCTCTGTAGATTCATGAATAAATTAGGTGCATGCTGTGTGGTGGATCAACGGTCGATTCACCCATCATCACAGACGGATCTCTTGCTTGCGGGCTAGCGGGAAACATGTTTACAGTTCTACAAGTTCTACAATCTCTAAGTACGATCAGAAGACCCTTCACTTACCTCCAGTCTGAAACTAGCTGTTACGCGTACACACATTGAAAGCGAGACCTGGCTTACGTAACCTAACAGAGAAATTCTTAGTTTGCATAGACACTAAATCATTAGCTTTCTTTTCGTTGGCTGACAGAATCCCAGGAAAATAAACCCCACTGACAGTTAAGTCCACTCGTGACACTTAATCAAATCAGATTCAATCAAAAGCGAATGTACACACAAGTTTGAATCGCAAATTTTACATAACGTCGTGTCGTCCTCTGCAACATTGGTGTCGAATTCCAAAGTAAATTACTGGATGCCATGGATGAATGCCGCAAAAAAAATCTATACGATATTTGGATTGGATAAGAAAATGTTGATGAAAATACAACAATGAATATAAACATATATAATGTAATGTGTGTATAATGGAAACACAAAAATGAATATAAACATATATAATGTAATGTGTGTATATATATATA